AAGCTCATGGATTTGGTGGAAAAAAAGAAGAGACCAATGCCCAGACACATCATTATGTCATTTACATCAGTAAAATGCTGAAACACAAGGAGAAAATCTTGAAAGAGCAAGAGAAAAATGACTCATTACATACAAGGAGACCCCACAGTGTCAACAGCTGACTCCTCCTCAGAAGCAATGAAGACCAGAAGGCAGTGGGATGGCATAGTCAATGTGCTGGTGGGGGGAAGCATCCTGGCAACTAAGAATCTTATATCCAGCAAAACTATCTTTCAAATATGAAGGTAAATATTTCCAAATAAACATAAACTGAGAGAGTTTGTTGCTCAAAGAGCCATTTGCTAAGAAATACTAGAGGAAGTTCTTCAGGCTGAGAGCAAATGACTCCAGAATATAACCAGAGGCCACCGGAAAAAATAAAAAGCACTAATAAAGGTAAGTAATTATAAAAGCTAGCATAAGCACTTATTTCTTCTACTTTCTTAATGATTTAAAAAGCAATTGTACAAAGCAATATGCATATAGTTGTATTGTTGGCCCGATAGCATATACAAATATAAAATAATAACAACACATGTGATTGGAGCAAAGCTGCCTTGGAACAAGGAAATGAAACCAGATGGTAACTCAAATCCACAGAAAAAAATGAAGAGAAATGAAAATGGTAAATAAAGTGAGTATAACAAAATCCATATACAGTCTCTCTCATCTTAGTTTCCTTCTGAGGCACAAAATTACATAAAGTAACAATTATAACTGTATTTAGGACTTGTAACATACACAGATGTAATATGTTTAACGATCATAGCACAAATTGGAGGAAAAGGAAATGGAACTATATAGGAGTATAAGGTTAGAATAAACTTGCAATATTTTGATAAGTTGTGTACGGTAAGCCCCTAGACCAACCATTATGAATTTAACAAAAACATGTAGTAGAAAAAAATCATTAAAGGAATTAAAATTTAACACAATTTTCATATAATGAAGATATTCACTAAATACAGAAGAAATCAGTAAGGAGGAATAGAGGGGGGAAAAGACATGAGACATAAGAAATAAAAGTAAGGGCAGGCAGCCCCGGTGGCGCAGTGGTTTGGTGCCGCCTGCAGCCTGGGGCATGATCCTGGAGACGCGGGATCCAGTCCCACATTGGGCTCCCTGCATGGAGCCTGCTTCTCCCTCTGCCTGTGTCTCTGCCTCTCTCTCTCTCTCTGTGTCTCTCATGAATAAATAAATAAAATCTTAAAAAAAGAAAGAAAAAAAGTAAAACAGCAATAATAAATCCAACTATATCAACAATAACATTAAATGTGAATGGATTAAGGAATCTAATAAAAAGGCAGAGATTGACAGACTAAATAAAAATATAAGCTCCAGTAGAGATCTCCCTTGACTTCTGATAGGGTTATGTTGTAATAAACCCAGAGTGAGTTAAAAATATAAACCATAAGTCAAAATACATTTGGGGCACCTGGCTGGCTCAGTTGGTGGAGCATGTGACTCTTGATCTTGGGGTTATAGGTTCAAGCCCCATGTTGGGTGTAGAGATGATTTTATTTTTTATTTATTTTTTTTTTGTAGAGATGATTTTAAAAAATAATTTTAAAATATATTTAATATACCTAACCTACAGAACATCATAGCTTGGCCTTACCTAGTTTAAATGTGCTCAGAACACTCACGTTGGCCTATAGGTGGGCAAAACTACCTGTTTTATAATAAAGTGTTGAATATCTCATGTAATTTATTGAATATAGCGTACTGAAAGTGAAAAGCAGAATGGTCGTATCAGTAGTTTACACCCACGATCACATGGCTGACTGGATGCTATGATTTGTTGCTTCTGCCCACCATCACAAGAATGTGTTGTCTCAGACAGGAAAAAATGAAAAGTCAAAGTATGGTTTCTACTGAATGCATATCGCTTTCACACCACTGTAACGTCAAAAAATTGTTAGTTGAACCATTGTAAGTTGGGGACTGTCTATATAGAGTGACTGCAAAAGAGACACTTCAGATTCAGAGATGCAAATAACTCGAAAATAAAATAACGAGAAAAGATATCTCATGCAACCCAAGAAAGTTGGGTGGTTCTGCACATGCCAGACACAACAGACTTTAACATTGAGATAAAGGAGCACCTGTGTGGCTCAGGTGGTAAAGCGTCTGCCTTTGGCTCAGGTCATGACCTTATGTTCCTAGGATGAAGCCCCATTTTGGGACTCCCTGCTCTATGGGGAGTCTGCTTCTCCCTCTCCCTTTGCTGCTCCCCCTACTTGTGCTCTCTCTCAAATAAATAAATGAAATCTTAAAAAAAAATGAACAGAGATAAAGAGGGTCTTTTTCTAATGATAGCATAGCTGATAGAACTCAGGGGTCAGAACAATTCAACTATAATAGCTGGAGACTTGAATTTCCCACTTCCAATAGGGCAGAGAATGATCAGACAGGAAGAGAAGACTTGGAAACACTATGAGCCCCCCAGATCTACAAAATATCTACAGAAGACTCTACACAAAACAGCAGGATACATATTCTTCCTGGGTACAACAGGAAATGTCCTCTCAGATATACCCCATTCTGGGTCATAAACTAAGCTTTGAAAAGTAAAGAGGTCTGCAATGATGTGAGGTATGGTTCCTGACTACCGGGGAATGAAATTTGTTTTTGTTTTGTTTTTTAAAGAGTTTATTTATTTATTAATGAGAGACAGAGAGATGCAGAGACATAGGCAGAGGGAGAAGCAGGACCCCCGCAAGAAGGCTGATGTGGGACTTCATCCCGGATCCCGGGATCATGCCCTGAGCCAAAGACAGATGCCCAACCACTGAACCACCCAGGCATCCCCAGGGAATGAAATTTGAAGTAAAAAATGGAAAGAAATTTGGGAAACCCACGTATATGTGGGAATCAACACAGTCCTAAGTAACCAAGAAGTCAACGTCACAAAGAAAACCAGAAAATATTTTAGATGAATGGAAATTAAGTCACAGTGCACAAAAAGTGGTGGGACTCAGCCCATCAGTGCTTCGAGGGAAATCTGTAGTTGTCAATGCCTCTCATTTTTCCCAATTTTGTTTTTACTGTGGTAACATACACGCAACATAAATTTCCTGCCTGAACCACTTCAGTGGTATAAAGTCCATTTGTATTGTGCGATCATCACCACGAGCCAACTTCTGAACTGTTTCCCTCTTGCAAGATGGAAACTCTGCCCCTCACTGCTCTCCCCATCCCCTGGTAGCCATCATTCTACTTTCTGAGCCTAGATTTTGACGAATCCAAGTATGCTATATAATAAAGACAGTTTTTGTCTTTATGTGACTGGCTTCTTTCACTGAGTAGGATGCCCACAAGGCACATCCATGCTGTAGCAGACGTCAGAGTCTCCTTCCTTTTGAAGGCTGAATATATTCCATGGTATGCACATGCTGTCAGTGGACATGCTGGTGGTTTCCACATTTTAGCTATGGCAATGCAAATAGCTTCTATGAACATGGTGTACTAATATTCTCTTCAAGACCCTGCTTTCCAATGCTTCTATATACCCAGACATGGCATGGCTAGGTCATGTGGTCATTCCATTTTTAAATTTTTTAGTGTTTGACAGTTTATTTAAAGGATTATGATGAAGGATATGAATCAGTAGCCAGACAGAATTGATGCACAGGGTTAGGCATGGGAAAGGGGCTTGGAACGTTCCCTCCAGTCACATTTCACAGGTTCACCAACCCAGGAGCTCAGATTTTTAATTTTTTTTTCCAGTTTTTAATTTTTTGAGGACTCACCAAACTGTTGTCCACAGCAGCTGTACCACTTTATTGCTGCCAACAGGGCAGGGTAGTTCCAATGACTCTCCATCCTTGCCAATATTTGTGATTTTCTGTTTTTTGTATTTTAAATTTAGTAGCCATCATAATGGATGAGAGGTGGCATCTCATTGTAGCTTTGGTTTGCATTTCCCTAATGGGTGCTGATAAGCATGTGCTTCTTGGCCATTTGTATATATCCTCCGGAGAGATGTCTATTCAGGTCTTCAGTTTTAAATTGTTTGGTTTTTTGTTTTGTTTTGTTTTTTACTGCTGAAGTTTAGGAGTTCTCTATACGTTGTGGATGTGAACTACTTATTAGATACACGATTTGCAAATAATTACTTCCATTTTGTGGGTGGTCTTTTAATTGTTGATAGTGTCTTCTGATGCAAACTTTAAGTTTTCTTGAAGTCCAATTGGTGAGACTGATTTGTAGGTTTTCATTTCATCGAAATTCTGAACATTTGGTTTTAGAGCTGGAGGGAATTTTGAAAAGAGAATTGATGTTCGTCCCTGACAGGGCAAAAGAACTGGTGGTGAACACTCTTTTGAACTGATTGGCAACATATACTAGAGTACGGCAACTATGGACTTGTGTTGGTGCCTTCAGACCCCATCTACTGTTAGGACTGCCTCTTGTACAGGACTGCAGGTCCCAGAAGCCTTGAACGTGTTCCACCTGCATGCTTCGGATCAATCTATTGCCAAGAAACTTCAGGACCAAAGTTATCTTTTCCAAGCGCAGCCTTTTTGGGCTATTAAGTTCTTCTATGTGTTATTCTTGACCGTGGCAGTTTGGTCATTCACTGGTTCTAGTAGATGTATGGAATGTTCATCTATGTATTTATTATTAAAACTAGAATTAATGTAATCTAGAGTCTCAAAGCTCCCCACTGGTTTAGGATATAGTACAGCATGGTGGGAAGTACAGAAGCTTTGGCGGCAGGCAGGTCTGTGTTCAAATCCCACTTAGGCACTTGGTTGTATATTGTGAATGTGCAGCTTACTCCGTGTTCATGTTCCCTAGGGTGCACCTGCTTTCTAGGGCGGCTATGAAGACCAGGACCCGTGGAACACACACAACACATGGTGTTTCCAGAGGTGGTAGCTAGAGTTATAGCGGTGTTTGCTAGAAGCGGAGCTCCATCACCTTTTGTGCATGAAATACAAAGAAAACAAGTAGCGTTGGTTACAACACATTTATTTACGTACCCTGTTGTGTGAGCAGGAGGTGCTTTTCATTTCCAATAATTGAATTAGGTTATAACAATTAAAATTCCAGAAGGCAAACTAGTAACTCATTGTTGCTCATGAGCATAAGTAAACAGACATGGTACCACATAAGGAATTTCAAACACTTCTAAACTTTTGGTATAGCTTTAGAATATGGACCGGTATACTTTGGCAATGGACCCAATAGATTTCCAATATGCTTCTAAAATCCCATGGTTCTCTCCAGACACAACAGGACAAGTTTAACTTTTGATTTTAGGAATTTAGCAATTATTCTGAGCAAGCCGGAAAAAGCCAACATTACTTGGGCCTATCATACTTGCCACAGATACAACGCACTATTAAAAATAAAATGGTGGGCAGCAGTTGACTGATTGCTAGTTTCATTTTTTTGATTGCTTCAGTATTTTTTGGAAAATAATTGATCCCTGATGGCAGGCTACTGAAGCTTGTCATTTCCGGGGTGTTTTAACTTACTAATCTTTTGTGGACTAGTTAAAGGGACTCAGATCTTGACAAGTTGGATGGCATTATCAGATTGGATTTCACATCATATATTAGAAATAGCCAGTTACAAGCCAGGATCCTATGGGACATCTACCTTTCAGAATGCTTTTATTCCTGGCTCCAGATCGTACTTACATATTTTTAGAGGGTTGGATAGGTGTCAACAAATGGGTACTCACCACTAGGGCAGGATGTAAGAATGTGCTGATCACCAAGAATGAGATTTTACATTAAATTAAAATTCTATACTGTTGGAAACAGAGAAGATCGGGAGTTCCTAGATCCTAGAAAAATATTATGGCTAAGGAAATAGAGAACTCAGGAAAGGGATCCACCTCCAAGAAACTCTCTCAGTAAAACAGAATTAAGTGCCCTGTCTCAGGAAACAGTTTATTACTAATAAGGAACTGGGACATCATATATTGTTTCTTTGGAGACTAAAGTGCAGGCTATGAAATGGCATAGAAAACAATGCAAAAAATAGTGCAATCTCAAGGTGCCATGGTTTTTGCTTCTCACACATAGCCTCTGTTCATATGTCCATCTTATCTAAAAAAAAAAAATCCAGCTATAGTGACACCTTTAGCTTATTTATTTAGTCATGACTTATACTGTTTGACCCACCTTTGGGGCTACATAGAATATTTTAACATGTTAACAAGTAGAATAATAGAGCATACATCTTGAAACTACTAAATAGAGATTAAGGCAAGCCCCTTATAATTCAGTACTCCAAAAACCACATTTTACAAGAAAAGAAAAAGAAAAAAGCTGCTTCTAAAACCAGTGGCTTTAGACCAGATGGCACCCCAACGGTTTTTAAAACAGTATGATTAATTAGTGAGTTTGTGTCTGCCCCATTGTTTCCAGGCTCTGTACAGCAAAATAGGAGCTTGAAAAGCAGCAGGTTTTGTAATCTCATGTCCTGAAATCATTTGTATTTCAGATTATGTGAAAACCAGACCAAATCTGTGTGGGAGAGACGTGGAGGGAGGGCCCTGTGCCTGTGAGGCAGGGGCAAGTCTCCTTGTGTCTGGGTCAATGGTGCTGGACCATAATCAATTCACAAGTGGGAGTGGACCTGTCAGCACGAAGTCTCTGAAAAACAGCCAAGGAAGATGACATGGGTGAGTCAGGGACTCTTAATCAAGGACAAAATGACACTAACAGCACTGAAATCCCTGGGGTCTAACCCTCAGGTGAGATGGCTCCTGCTCAGGGGCTCATCCACAATTGACATGTCAGTTTCAGTTGGTCAAAATAATTTGTGATTTGTCGAACCCTAAATCCCACTATGCGATCCAAAAGTTAAGTGTAAGAGCTATTGAATCAGTCAAGGCCACAGCCTCACACGATTTTTGGCAAGACGCCTTAAGGAAGATTAAGACTTGAATGGACAACCGTAGTGCTTACAAGTGGGGCCCGTGGACCTTATGGACAGTGATACGTGTATCCTGCAGAAATCTGGATTCCGAAACTCAAAATCTACCTTCTGATGGTGTGAAAGCCAAATACTCATGTTAACGAACGGAAGACTCTACATACATTTGGGTATCTATGTGTGGTTTAAAAAGCAATCCAAGAAAGTGGAAATAATTCACTAACAACTGTTAGTCATCTGAGGTCCTATCCCTTTGATGTATTAAGGATCCTACTTTGTAAACCTGTAAACATGTTACCTGGTTACTCTAGCATCTTCCTATTACCAGGAAGGCGGAATATTAACAGCCATGAGTACTCCAGCAGGCCTGCTCCAGAGTCAGGACAATATGGCTCAATCCTAGGATTACAAAAATGACACCTGCCGAGAAAACAAGTTCCAGACGGGGACTTTTATGGATGACCTTGGCTGACAAAATGTTTTTTGGAAATTGTTTATTTTAAAATTACCTTCCCAACAAACCATGAAACACTTGGATGTTATATGGTTTTTTTCACTGAAAACATACTACATTGTAAATGGAGTTTCCAAGCCAGACAGAGAATTGATCAAAATCTAAGGACAGTATTATGTAAGGAAAATATTAAAAATGGGTAAGAAAAAGTTTCATTTGGTGAGGTGATGTCATGGGCGGATAAAAAGGGAGGCAACCTTGTGCTTTTGTTCCACTAAGGTACTTACCCAAACCTTAGGTTTCATGCAGGTGTCAAACTCCTACCTGGACAGGGGTCATTTCCTATATTACACCTAAGCCTATTTGAAATAACTGAAGCCCAAAGCAACAGTTGGTAAAAGTTGATAAAAGAACTTATCAGTCAAATAATAACTACATAATTTAGTACATGAAAATAAAATGAGGACAGTCATGTTGTCATGGACAATGACAACTTGTCTAATGTTTTGGACAATGCCTCAAAAATATCCACCTGGGGAAAGTAACCACTGCACACGATTTGGAGGTGCTTAAAGTGACCGCTTAGAAGGGTGAACAGTGCAAGACATGCTTTTCCAGTTACACGCTCAAAACAGGAGTGCAAACGAAATTAAAGCTTTGTTTAAAGTTGTAGAATAAGGAAAGCTTGAAACTAATATTTAAATGCTTAAATGCTTCCCTCAGGTCATCCCCCAGAAACAAAACGATCAAAATGCTTTCTCAGAGTACGCTTTTCTCCAACGAGCTTTCTTTCAATGGCAACACTGCAGCCCACAGCTGAATCCCCTACTCATACCTGCAGTGACCACCACACTGATTGGGGAACACACGCGGTGGTGAGGAAGGGACACTACACCAGTCACCAGAGGTCCGACACTGATAGAGCCTGGGAGTTTGGGGTTCTGCCTCGGCCCATGTACCTGAACCCTAACGAAAACAGATGGGCTTCCATGCTCCCTTGTTCCTGTGAAAGCAGAGGACAAATGGTCTGACAAATGCCTCCCTGGAGGCAAGCTGTCGTGGTGGTAGGAGATGTCAGGCGCTCTAATAAACTAACGCTGCTCTAAAAAGTGGAGAAGTATAGAGGTTCAAGGTCAATACCAGTGCAAGAGCTTCTTAAGTGAGCTGACTAGGCAATGCATGCATCCATGCAAATGGAGGACATGGCCCCAGAAGAGAAATGAAAACATGTATATAACAACTGGATAAGTCCCTTGCCAGTAGTTTATAAAAATAGATAGTCAATACTGTAGAGGCCCCTTCTACAGCCAACACTATGGAAGTCCATTTTAGTTACCCATTACTTCGATACCAAAAAGCATTTACTACTTTTCAGACATTCCAGACAAAGGTCACTTATAACAAAAAGTCAACTTTTTTTTTTTTTTAAACAAGATATTGTCCATTTAAAAAGTAGGTCTTTTCTTTCAAGTGAAACAGGACATTTTTCTGTATTAAACTTAACTTCTAGTCTGTCCAGACTGGTTTGTTTCAGATCCTTCTGTAATGTGCATATATGCAGAAACAAATAAATTTACTTTAGACATTATCTGCACAGAAAAAAGTTAACTCCTCAAAACATGATAGAACAGGTCTGGTTAGTACAAATCTATTGCAAAGTAAAAAGATTCTGTGCATCAGTTCAACTGGGAGAAGCGGGAAGAGTCCAAGCAGGAGTCGTGCTCCTTCCGAAGGCCTGGCAGCCTGGGGGGCACCGAGGCTCCCAGGTCCTGCAGGCAGAACCACTCAGCTGCTGAGCACGTCTTCCTCTGGCGCTGGAAACACGCCCCCTTTACTTTCTATTCCGGAGTCGCTTTGATTTCCTAAGGGAGTCTATGGCTTCTGCTGCCTTCTTCCGTTTCCGAGGAGACTCTTCGTTGGCCCCTGACCCAGAGGAGCTCCCCACCGCACTCTCCATGACCTCCCGCAGTTTGCGCTCCAGCTCCGCCAGCCGTGCGTTCTGTTCGCCTATGATCTGGGTCTGCTCCAGCAGTTTCTGGTCCTGGTCCTGAAGTTGCTTCTGCTGCTCCTGCACTTTGGTGCGAAGCTCAGAGATCTCGCGCCTGAGAACAGTCACACCAGCGCCATTGGTCTTGACCTGCTGCTGGAGTTTGGTGACCTCTTGTCTTGAGGGGTTCTGCTTGGAGAAGAGCTGCATTGTCGTGAGGGCTGCGGAAGGTCCTGGAACTGTGGAGACACAGTGTTAAATGGTCCATCAATCACTCAAAATGTCTCACTACCAGTAAGACTTCCGTCATGAAACTTACTCTGAAATAGAATGCCCTTAAAACATCACTTCAGATAATGTTCTCTCTGCAATCTACTTGGTTGAATGGATTAATCAGATAGCCTTGTCTTAGGAGTAAAGGAGTCTAAATTCTGACGCTTGGGTTCATCTGGCACCGTGTGGATTGCCAGTAATGGAGAACAACGTTTAACGGCATAAACTTGGACTAAAATATAATAAAACATTTTCAAGACCTACTAAGAAAACACTAGTAAAATTAAACTATTTTCTATCTTATTTCACAGGAGCAAACATAAACATTTGTTTTAGAAGCACAGGCCTATTATGCCCTTAAATTCTTTCAGCACTTAGCTCTATGTAAGAGTTTCAACTTTAGCCAGACAGGGAGGGATACCATCAAACAGTGGGTTACGTCACATACGATGACCACGAAGAATCTCCCATGTGACGCAGGAAGAAGGCTTTGGAATCATTCTGTTACGGGAATAAGAGAAGGTAACATTGGCATAAAAATCACTGCCATAAACTAATAACCTACTTTTTAAAAACTAAAAGTCTTTTTTTTTTTAAAAGATTTTATTTATTTATTCATGAGAGACACACACACAGAGAAAGAGGCTGAGACACAGGCAGAGGGAGAAGCAGGCTCCATGCAAGGAGCCTGATGTGGGACTTGATCCTGGGTCCCCAGGATCACACCCTGGGCGGTAGGCGGCGCTAAACCGCTGTGCCACCGGGGCTGCCCAAAAACTAAAAGTCTTCTAAAAGAACCAGATGAATCCATTTATACCCTAAACCCATCATGACAGTTTTCTCTCTTTTTTTTTTTAACAATTTTTTTTTTTAACTTTTATTTATTCATGATAGGCACACAGTGAGAGAGAGAGAGGCAGAGTCACAGGCAGAGGGAGAAGCAGGCTCCATGCACTGGGAGCCCGACGTGGGATTCGATCCCGGGTCTCCAGGATCGCGCCCTGGGCCAAAGGCAGGCGCCAAACCGCTGCGCCACCCAGGGATCCCCAGTTTTCTCTTTATACACATAAAGAGCCAGGTTATTTCCTGCACCAATGCATTCTTCCTTCTTTCTCTGCTTACCTTCATCCAATTTCCACTAACACATCAAGGCTTAGATCAATTCTTCTTACTTCTTGTGAACTCTCAATCAGACCAGTCAACAAGGGTTCTAGCTTCCTTAAGATCCTATCTCTGCTATTCATTAGGCATTTCAATGGACCCTTCTTTAAAAGATTTCTCTTACCAATGACCATTTAACTTTGAGTCTGGATATGTCTTACCTTTTGACATAGTAAGGTCCTTGAGATCAGACACCATGTATTACACTTCCTTTTAGTCTCCACAGTACATAGAACAGTGCTGTGCGCGCATAATAGGTACTTAATAAATAACTGATGTATTAATGCCGAGATGCTGTAGGCTTTATTATTCAATTACAGAAAGCCACTTGGTTACCCTACTGAGCATTCCAGGGAACTATCTAATCCAAACAAAACAAAGAGTCTTACTAAAAATTTTTTCCTGATTTAAAGTATTTGCAAGGGTTGAAGATATTTTTAACAATTTAGTCTTTCAGTAAAGGCACAAATCCCTCGGCTCTGATACACTTTTGCAAAATAGCTACCACAGAAGCAGTGATTGTGCTCAAAATAGTTTTATATACTCTGTCTTTTAAAGTAGCAGCCAGACACTCTAGGGGCTGAAATATTAAGTGAATATTCCATGAATAATTTTGGGGGGTTTTATCTGGTATATTTAATTCTGTTTTGGCATAACGGATATTAGCCAGACAGAATCAGCATTAAAAAAAAACTCCAAAACCCCCCCAAAAAACAAAAACAAAACAAAAAAACAAAAAAACCCCCACCACCAACAAAAAAAACAACCCCCCAAAAAACCCCACCCCAAACAAAACCAACAACCCACAAAACCTCCCCATACATATATATGGCTTTTAGCCCAGAAATTCTAACAAATTTATTGTAAGTCAGTAGTTGTGGATATATATAAAGATTTAGCCATGAGATTGTCCTTCTAAGTGTAGTTTAAACACTGAAACTAAAGACAAATGTGCTGAACAGTAGTGGATCAGTTATACATGTTATGGTCTGTAATCAACCTGTCATTAAAAATCATGTTGCAAATACATATTTACAGATACAGAAAAGGTGACAATGTATGATTAAATGGGGGTGGGGGAGAGCAAGTTATGAAACTATATATGAATGTTACTTTAAACTGAACATAAGAACAAGAGCTACCTGGAGGAGAGCCCATGAGTCTTCCAGACACATCTGATCCTGGTAACTTTCTCTTGAGAATGGGCACGATCTTCTCATCGAAGTACTCCATCGCCATGGAGGAGATGTCCCTTAACTCCTGAAGTACCTCATGGGCTCGCTGAGGGGCTCTGGTAGAATTGACATATCTCAACACACGATAAATCTCATCGATCACCTAAAATAAAGAGTTCTCATTAGCACTTCCAATTCTGTGTTTAGAAAAAAAATGCTAAATAGGGAGAGAAGTGACAGCTTATTTTGCAATCCCTGTAAAGACCTATGGGGTGAACAACACCGTCTGTAACGCACAGCTTTTGGCTTGTTGAAATTCTTAGTGAGTTTCACAAACGTATTTATTAGGATTTTTCTGTAGCAGGTGCTGATGCTAAGGAATCAGGGTGAATAAAAATACAGCTCTTGCTCTGATGGAAATCACAATGTAAGGGAGCGACAGGTTGTGTTACAAAGTGTTGCTATGAGCTGCTAGAGAAGCCTTAGGACTAAACAATGATACTGAATTCTGTCTGCGATGATGGGGAGAAGAACTGACCCAAAGCCCTGGGACCCAGCTCAATTTCCTGCTCTGGGATGAGGTGTTCTGGCCTCCAAGCTTTTCTTTCTCTTAAGACTTGCTATGGATTGGAATGAAGTCTCCTCAGGTCCCCCTCTCCTGCGATCACCAAAGGGGAGCAAAAGACCCCTTTTCACCTTAAGGGTCATCACAATGGGGAAACACAAGTGTAACAGACATGAGAAAGAAACAAAGTTCTGACCACCTGGTTCCTTTTTTTTCCTGACCACCTGGTTCCTAATGCTCTTGCTGCACTGGTAGCTGAACCTTCCCTGTACATTTTGGCCCTCAGCTCTAACCCTGAGAACTGAAAAATTACACCTGTAAACTAACTTGTACCATATTCTTATCTTTACTGGTTTTGGCCTTTTAGATACAGCCTCAAAGCAAGGCATCTCTCCATTTGCTCAAGTCTTCAATTAAGAAAGGTAATGTTTCTAAATTTTACTAGAGAGAGAGAGATTAGGTTTAGTCAAGTGGTTGATAATCCAAGTTTTCAATAAAATTAAAAACAATGTCTTTCCTCTTTCCAAAGTTTTTTTTTTTTTTAAGATTTTATTATTTATTCATGAGACACATACACACACAGAGGCAGAGATACAGGCAGAGGGAGAAGCAGGCTCCCAGCAAGGAGCCCTATGTGGGACTCAATCCCAGCTCTTAGGATCACGCCCTGAGCTGAAAGCAGATGCTCAATGACTGAGTCAGGAGTCCCGTCTCTCCAAAAGTTATACTCAAAGGACGAGATGAAGGAGAAACTAACATGGCACCTGAGAACCACACTGCTTCTACCACTCAAGTTACTTATGGTTGCAATGGCACATATTAGAAAAGCATGGTATCTACCCAATTTTCAAAATATTTCAACCCCCTCCGTGGCTTTAATTACTTTCTGAAAATTACTATAGCAGCAAGAATGTAATGGTGTGATGAGTCTTGAGTCTACTGGAAAGATCACACATGTTAAGGTTGGGCACTAAATTTCTTTTTTTAATTTTCTTTTTTTAAGGTTGGGCACTAAATTTCTTTTTTTTTCTTGTGATTTTCTACTTCTCAGATCATTCCTTCAATTTTTTAAAAGTTTTATTTATTTTCAAAAATAATTTCTATTCCGAATGTGGGCATTGAACCCAGGACCTCAAACCTCAAGGTCAAGAGTCACACGCTTCAATGACTGAGCCGACCGGAGTGCCCCTAGGCACTCAAACTCTTAGTGGCTGTTTCTATAGCTTTCAAATGTGCTGCGTGCTGATCCTACCTGAGCCTGAGGTGATAATATTTTAAAAAGTATGGTACCAACCAGATATGGTGAGTGAGCACTGCATCTCTAATGCTGGCAGCTCATGTTAACTAGCACAGACATGCTATGGATACGGCTGCAGTGTGTGGACTCTTGTGAGAGAGAATTTCTATCTTATGTCACTTGTTGAGCAAAGTTCCAAAGAAAAAACTGAACCTCTTTGTCCTAATTTTTTCTCACTTTCCACCTTTTTGTTCTATTTGAGATCTCAACCTTCCCTTCTACTCCTTTTATTTAATTCAACACTTCTTCCATATTTAAGAAATTTAAGGGATCCCTGGGTGGCGCAGCGGTTTGGCGCCTGCCTTTGGCCCAGGGCGCGATCCTGGAGACCCCGGATCGAATCCCACGTCGGGCTCCCGGTGCATGGAGCCTGCTTCTCCCTCTGCCTGTGTCTCTGCCTCTATCTCTCTCTCTCTCTCTGTGTGACTATCATAAAAATAAAAAAAATAAAAAAAAAAAAAAGAAATTTAAGTGCATTTAAAAACTTCTGTATTTTGGGGATGCCTGGGTGGCTCAGTGGTTGAGCGTCTGCCTTTGGCTCAGGGTGTGATCCTGGGGCCCAAGATCGAGTCCCACATCAGAGTTCCTGCATGGAGCCTGCTTCTCCCTCTGCCTATGTCTCTGCCTCTCTCTCTGTGTCTCTCATGAATAAATAAATAAAATCTTAAAAAAAAAAAAAAACAACTTCTGTTATTTCTATGTGGCACATGTTTGACTCTATCCTTTTTTATTTCTCTTAGAATATTAGTCATGGTTTCTTCTCTAAGGCTTATATCCTTGAATGGTTTTCTCAAAGATGTCTTCCCCCATTTGTGTTTCATATTAGTCTGATGATTCTCTGCTAGTATTGAAGAACCCAGCACAGAGACAGCTCACAAGAACCCCCTGCTTAGCCCAGATGGTGGGAGGGGTGGGGGTGGAGGAAGAGGGGCAGGGCAGGGACATCGTGAAGGGGGCATCCGGAAGGAACCCATGTTCTTCAAAAATGTGGAGATCAGGGTATGCCAAGGCTGCACAGAAACTGCCCCATTAAGGAGGATACAGAGTCTAGCACAGCACTGGATGGGGCTCTGGACTGAGAGAGGGGCCACTGTATCAAAGTCACACTTCCTACTTTGGTAACCATGCTGCAGCTCAGTTAGAAAATGCTTACTCAAGAAATACATAAGAATATTTAAGAATAAAGGGTCACAGTTATCTCCACCATTTTCAAATGATTCAGAAAAAACACAACACATACTTACAGAGAGAATAAAAGCAAATGGGACGAAAGGTAAATAACTGTGGGATCTGGATAAAAGCCTATGAAAGATCCTCGTACTATTCTTGCAGTTTTCATGCAAATATGAAATTGCATCAAGAAGTTACCAAAAAAAGAGAAGAGATTACATAATGCCACACTGCCATCCTCTCCCCCTACTCCCTCCCCACCCGCCATCTCCCTGGCCAAAACATTAAAAACTAACCAACAAAACCTAATTTGCAGATTTTAGGTTTGTTCAGGAACATCTGGACTTGTGACCTTGCATAATTACTTACACTGAAAACCCTGACTCTTGGGAACCCCTGGGTTTCACATTCCTAAGCAGGGTCACGAGCAGTGCTGAAGAACAGGCCTTACCCACATCTTCCATCATCACTCTATTTCCCAGGACAGTAAGTTGGCCTCTGTTCCATGTGTGTTTCAGTATGTGTGAGATGCCACATGGACCCTCAACTGACTGTAAAAAGTGTGACTTCTCTGTCAGAAGACTTGAAAAATGTATAGAGGAGTGAGCTAGACACCCACAGCCTCCAGGTTCTGAGAGAAGATGGACGGAACGGCCACACGTGGTCAGGTTGGCAGCAGAGGCCCTACTGGACCTGCACTGTTTCTGTAAATAAAGGTTTATTGGAACATGGGCACACTCATTTATTTCCCCACATGCTGTCCACTGTTTCTCAGAGCTGAGGAGATATTATGAGCATAGCTCATATAAGCTATGTTTACCATAGATGTAAATTCTAACAAAACCACAAAAATGTGTTCTCCTATGAAGTATGAAAGTTCCTGAACTTTTGAGTAAAATCCAGAAGCAGGATCTGGTGGGACACAAGAATTACCTAATATAGGAACCATATACCAGATCAAGATTAGATGTTATACGGAGAGAGAATTATTTTATAGAACATACTCAGGCACGTGTGATTAAGTGCCGCGGCCTTCAGTTCTGAAGACAGAATGTGAGCAGTTTAAGGCTGAGAAGTACAGAAAGGGAGCAATCATAAAGCAACCCCAATGCTGCAGAGTGTGTTAAGTAAGCAGTTTTATTTTTGACTAAACAAGCTAAAAAGTACTAGCTACATGAGAATAAAAAAATAACATTCAGGGTGGTGCCTGGCTGGCTCAGCAGAGCAGGTGACTCTTGATCTCGGGGTCATAAGTCTGAGCCCCACGCTGGGCTCAGGGATTACTTAATTAAAAAAAAAAAAAAAGAAAAAAGTAATATTTTGAGTATACACAGTGTTTGTTATTTTAGGTAAAACATAAGCTATAAAAATGGCCCTTTTAAGAAACAAAGCAATTCAAGATGAATTAGGTGTGATTAAAAAAACAAAAATTATTTCTGGGTTTTTTTGGTGGGGTTTTTTTCAGGGTTACAGGAGAAAACCGAGGGTGAGTTTTTGTGAAGACAAGGGTACTCTTAAGGGAAAATGGAAGAAAACACTGAAGACGATAACCGGGCAATCAGAAGGCTCAAGTGAAGCTTCTGTGAAGTCACGTCAGCTGGCTGGGCCCGTGTTCTTACCGACGGGACAGGAACAGGCCAGACCTTCCACGGCCGTGATGGGAAGGACATGAGTCAGTGCACATGAGCGTGCTCTGAGAATAACAAGTATTTCACGAATCTAAGATGAGAGCAAGGACAAGGGACAGGGATAGGTCTGTATTACATGTGAGGCTGGGTACAAAATCCCTCCCCAGCTGCTCCTCCACTGAGGGCACAGTGAGGGTTCTGGCTGAGGAGCTGCCTAGAGTTGATGCCGCATTGACCTGCAATACCTTCAAAACTGAACAAAAACAAAAAAACAAACAAAAACAAAAACAAAAACAAAAACTGAACAAGTTCTTCACACCTGCGGCCTTGGTTTTGTTATTTTGGTACCAAAATTAACATGTGAGTCAACAAAGACTTGCAAAAAGCCCCAGCAAAGCTCGATTGGATTTGACCCTATTTGTTAAGACAGCAAAGAGCAGCGTTCCAAGTATGTGGTCCTGATCACCCAGAATGGAGATTGGCCACTTCTGTAAAGGCCATGTATGAAGTTGCTCAGGCTTTGCAGGCCACGTGGACTTAGCACAAACTACTCCACTCTGGTTCCTAACGACTGGCTGAATTGTTTTTGACGTTATGGAAATTGTGTTTCTTAAATATTCACATTCCTAACAATGAGATATGGGTTAAAAACCATGAGGCTGTAGGGGACAACCTATACTAGTTCAGTCAACCTCCCAGGAATACTTGAGAGTTGAGGCCTGTCAATCAGATTTGGATACAATCTGGCATAAGAATCAGAATCTGAAGTTGCCAACTGGTCACCTTTTAAAGTTAAGTACCCTTCAGAAGAATTTGTAGCCAAAAGGATGAAAGTGAGATATATTGAAGAATATTTTAAATAAAATAAGAAACAGGATACCCCCCCCAATAAACCTCACAGAAAACCGAAGACAGAGGATGTATATAGAAAATACTGCCAGTGTTATCTACAGAAATAACAAAAAGCTAACATTCGACTTTTTTCTAGGGCTTGCTTAGTTCCGACCACATTAAATGGAATCTTCTGCCAGCATCAAGTAAGTAGCAAAAGGGTCTTTCAATGCATCTCTACTTCTTCCACATACGATACACACAGATTTCATCTGAATTTATTCCCAATTCAAGAAGCAAGATACACACAAGTAGTATGCTGAGTGCTGGGGCCTTCAGGACTTGGTGACGGTCAATCCGCCCCCATAGACTGCCTTCTGTGTTCATCACCACTATTCCTGCACTGCTATCTCGTATCTACACCTGCCTGATCTGGAAGGACCCAAGTCGTCCTCATGAAACACTTCTCACACGAAACAAACATCAGCTTGTCCCTCCTACTCCATCTCCCCCAAATCAGAACAATCCTAAACGCAAGGAAATACCTGTAAACTTGCTCACTGTCCATCCTAAACAAAGAGTAAAAGCCCACAAATGGGTTCTTTAGTAGGAACTCTTTTTTTCCCTTCATATTTATGGAAATAGCTTATTACCTGGAATTGAGGATGAATTCCTAACAAGCTTTTCTAAAGAACAGCAGGGCTTCTACTGTATGTTTCACAATGAGGTCTTTCAAAATGGAGATCACACAAAATATGGCTTTCTCTACCAGCTTCTGTACAGAAGCTGAACAAAGCCATTCACAGGAACTCATTCCAAAGAAGTAGAACAATTCTGACAGGTAAACAACTGCTTTAGAGTAATTTCAGTTTAAGCAGTGCAATCCAGCTGTTTTAGGTAAGCAGTTCTATTTTACCTTTCCTGGGATGAAGCAACAGAGATTGGAATCCACATACTTCATGAAAGTCATATTTAACAGTGAGAGCCTTGTTTCAACAGCAGCAAGGATGTCTGCGTGACGGGCTAATGAGTGGTTTCTTCTTTCTGACTCCCTCCTATGGTAAGAAAAAGCAACCATGAAAGAAGTACTGTGAATGAAAATGGTAAGCAATGAAAATGCCTTTAATGGGATTTCTAATAGTCTAACAGAGACCCGTTAATTCTGATATCTACAACTGGGTCATAATTTAATTGTAACGATCATCAAATTGCTATGTCCAGAAATCCCTCCCAAGGACTAGTACTCACTGATAAATTATTTGGGGGAGAAAAAAAAAAATCTTTGTTTTTTGTTTTGGCTGTTATCAGGCCTGAGGGCTATTTGAATTAGAAAAATCAGAGAAATGAAAGAATTATGCAGGGATGTGTGGACAAGGAACTATGTTTTTACCCATAAAAGCAGCTCACTTAAACTTTTATTTATTTTATTTTTTTAAATTTTTTTTCTCATTAAACTTTTGTTTTAATGGGTCTCAAAATTCTGTGACAGATTTTTGGTCAAGTTGTTTCCATTAAAAAGTACTGATTTTAAAAACTAATAACTTAAAACTGCCACACACGCACACACACACACACAACAAAAAAACCAAAAAAAACAAATGGTCCACAAAACATTCTCCTTTCCTTCTGAAGGTTTTACGATGCATTGTTATCATTAACCAGTCTTTTACTATTAAACTTAAATGGCCAATTGACACAAACAGTTCTTTTTTTTTATTTTTTTTATTTTATTTATTTATGATAGGCACACAGTGAGAGAGAGAGAGAGGCAGAAACATAGGCAGAGGGAGAAGCAGGCTCCATGCACCGGGAGCCCGACGTGGGACTCGATCCTGGGTCTCCAGGATCACGCCCTGGGCCAAAGGCAGGCGCCAAACCGCTGCGCCACCCAGGGATCCCGACACAAACAGTTCTGAGACCGTTCTTCCACCACTGATTAAGACTGGGGTGGCAGGTATTGGGGATAATATTCATTTAGCCTTCTGAGCTTTCTGGGCAGACTTGGTGACTTTGCCAGCTCCAGCTGCCTTCTTGTCCACTGCTTTGATGACACCCACAGCAACCGTCTGTCTCATGTCATGAACAGCAAAACGGCTCAGAGGAGGATAGTCAGAGAAGCTCTCAACACACATAGGTTTGCCAGGAACCATATCAACAATGGCAGCATCCCCAGATTTCAAGAACTTGGGACCATCTTCCAGCTTCTTTCCAGAACGACGATCTTTTCCTTCAGCTCAGCAAACTTGCAAGCAATGTGAGCTGTGTGACAATCCAGCACAGGTGCATATCCAGCACTGATTTGGCCTGGATGGTTCAGGATAATCACCTGAGCTGTGAAGCCGGCTGCTTCCATTGGTGGGTCATTTTTGCCGTCACCAGCGACGCTGCCACGATGAACATCTTTGACAGATACGTTCTTGACATTGAAGCCCACATTGTCCCCAGGAAGAGCCTCACTCAAAGTTTCATGGTGCATTTCAACAGACTTTACTTCAGTTGTAACATTGACTGGAGCAAAGGTGACCACCATACCAGGCTTAAGAACACCAGTCTCCACTCGACCCACTGGTACAGTACCAATACCACCAATTTTGTAGACGTCTTGGAGAGGCAGACGCAAGGGCTTATCAGTTGGACGAGTTGGTGGCAGAATGCAATCCAGGGCTTCAAGCAGTGTGGTTCCGCTGGCATTCCCATCTTTACGGGTGACTTTCCATCCCTTGAACCAAGGCATGTTAGCACTTGGCTCCAGCATGTTGTCACCATTTCAACCAGAAATTGGCACAAATGCTACTGTGTCGGGGTTGTAGCCAATTTTCTTAATGTAGGTGCTGACTTCCTTAACGATTTCCTCGTATCTCTTCTGGCTGTAGGGTGGTTCAGTGGAATCCATTTTGTTAACACCAACAATTAGTTGTTTTACACCCAGTGTGTAAGCCAGAAGGGCATGCTCACGGGTCTGCCCATTCTTGGAGATACCTGCTTCAAATTCACCAACACCAGCAGCAACAATCAGGACAGCACAGTCAGCCTGAGATGTGCCTGTAATCATGTTTTTGATAAAGTCTCTGTGTCCTGGGGCATCAATGATGGTCACATAATACTTGCTGGTCTCAAATTTCCACAGGGAGATGTCAATGGTGATACCATGTTCACGTTCAGCTTTCAGTTTATCCAAGACCCAGGCATACTTGAAGGAGCCTTTTCCCATCTCAGCAGCCTCCTTCTCAAATTTTTCGATAGTTCTTTTGTCGATCCCACATTTGTAGATCAGATGGCCAGTAGTGGTAGACTTGCCCGAATCTACGTGTCCAATGACGACGATGTTGATGTGAGTCTTCTCCTTTCCCATTTTAGTTTAGGTTTAGCGGTGGTTTTCACGACACCTGTGTTCTGGTGGCAAACCCGTTGCGAAAAAGCAAACTTTTATTTTTTAAAATGTTTTTAAAAATGATTTTTTAAAAAAGATTTTTATTTATTTATTCACGAGACACACGCAGAGAGAGAGGCAGAGATACAGGGAGGGAGAAGCAGGCTCCCTATTGGGAGCCTGCTGTAGGACTTGATTCCAGGACCCTGGGATCATGATCTGAGTCAAAAGCAGATGCTCAACCACTGAGACACCCAGGAGCCCCTAAAAATGATTTACTTACTTATTTTAGAGGAGGGGTGGGTAGGGGCAGAAGGAGAGGGAGAGGAATCTCAGACTCTGCACTGAGTGGGGAGACTGACACGGGGCTTGATCTCACAGCCCTGAGATCATGACCTGAGCCAAAACCAAGAGTCAGATGCTTAATTGACTGAGCCACCCAGGTGCCTCCAGCTCCCTTTTAAACTTTTGGGTTTTTTTTTTTTTTTTAATATGGAACACTTCACAAATTTGGGTGTCATCCTTGTGCAGGGGCCATGCTAATCTTCTCTGTATCGTTTCAATTTTAGTATATGTGCTGCCGAAGCGAGCACTTAAACTTTTTGTTTTATTGTGAAATAATTCACATATAAAAACCACTTTTAATGTGTATAACTTTATGGTTTTTAGTATATTCACAGAGTTGTGTACCTACTACCACCATTTAATTTTTTAAAATTATTTTTTATTTTTTTAAAAGTTTTTATTTAAATTCCAGCTAGTCAACATACAGTGTAAAGTTAATTTCAGGTGTACAACCCAGTGGTTCAACACTTCAACACAATTATCCAGTGCCCATCACAAGTGCCCCCGCCAACCCCTCTCACACATCCCCCCCATACTTCCCTTTCAGCAACCATCAGTTTGTTCTCTACATTTAAGAGTATATTTTTTTATTTCCTTCGCTCTTTTTTCCCTTTGCAAGTTTGTTTTGTTTCTTAAATTCCATATATGCGGGACACGTGGGTGGCTCAGTGGTTGAGCATCTGCCTATGTCTCTGCCCTTCTCTCTGTGTCTCTCATGAATAAATTAAAATCTTAAAAAAAATTCCACATATGCATGAAATTATATGGTATTTGTCTTTCTCTAACTCATTTCACTTAGTATAATATTCTCCAGCTCCATCCATGTCATTGTAAATGGCAAGATTTCATTATTTTTTATAGCTAAGCATTATTCTATGGAATAATATAACATTTGTAAAACTATATATATATAATAGAATATGTGTATATACCGCATCTTCTTTATCCATTCATCAGCTGATGCACACGTGGACTGTTTCCACACTTTGGCTATTGTAGAAATGCTGCTATAAACATTGGGGTGCATATATCCCTTTGAATTAGTGTTTTTGTATTCTTTGGGCAAATACCTAGTAGTGTAATTACTGGATTGTAGGGTAGCTCTATATTTAACTTTCTGAAGGATTTCCAAACTGTTCTCTACAGTGGCTGCACCAGTTTGCATTCCCACCAACTGTCCAAGAGGCTTCCCCTTTTTCCTCATCCTCACCAACACTTGTTGTTTCTTGGCTTGATTTTAGCCATTCTGACAGGTGTGAGGTGGGGTCTCATTATGGTTTTGATTGGCATTTCCCTGATGATGAGAAATGTTGATTATCTTTTCATGTGTCTGTTGGCCATCAGCATATCTTCTTTGGAAAAACGTCTGTTCCTGTCTTCTCCCCTTGCCCCTTTTTAAAGTAGGCTCCACACAGGGCTTGAATTCATTACCCTGAGATTGAGAGTCAGATGCTTAACTGACTGAGCCACTCAAGCACACCTTCTTCCTATTTTTAAATTGTATTATTTGTTTTTTGGGGTGTTGAATCTCATAAGTTTTTTTTTTTTAAAGATTTTATTTATTTATTCATGAGAGACACAGAGAGAAAGATACACACACACACACACACACACACGGAGGGAGAAGCAGACTCCATGCAGGGAGCCCGATGCAGAACTTGATCCCAGGGCTCCAGGATCACACCCTGGGCCGAAGGCAGGCGCTAAACTGCTGAGCTACCCAGGGATCCCCGAATTTTATAAGTTCTTTAAATATTTTGGATACTAGCCCTTTACTTGATAGGTCATTTACAAATATCTTCTTCCATTCTGTAAGTTGTCTTTTAGTTGTGGTGATTGCTCACTCTGTTATGCGTAAGCTTCTGCACCACTTAATTTCTAAACATCTCTCCTATCACAAAACGAAAGCCCATAACTATTATGAGTCACTCCCATTCCTCAGCCCTTGGGAGCCACTAGTGCATTTTCTATTTCTATGGATCTGCTTATTCTAGACACAGCAGGTAACTGTGGAGTTGTACAGTACATGGCATTTCGTGACTGTCTTCTTTCATGCAGCAGAGTTCTTAAGCCTCATCTGTGTTGTAGCATGTATCAAGGACTGCATTCTTTTCTGCTGCCCACAAATATTCTATCATAGAGACATACCATCATTTTGATTATCCTATCATCAGGTGAGGACTGTTGGGCTGTTTCCACTTCTGCCTGTTATGAATAATGCTGCACAGAAGACATATGTACCAGCTTTTTTTGTGTGGCTGTACTTCCATTTCTTTTGGCTATATACCTAGGAGTGAAACTGCCAGGTCATATGGTAATTCTATGTTTAGCCTTTGGAGCAATAAAGTGTTTTCTAAGGTGGCAGAACCATTTTATAACCTCACCAGTAACCTACAAAGGTTCCGATTGGTCCACATCCTACCTAAGATTTTTTGTCTTCTTTCCTTGGGCCATCCTAGCGGGTGTTCAGGAGTATCTCTGTTTCTATCTACAACACCTTGGTGACCACTGATGTTGAGTATTCTGTATTTGCTTGCCTCCAGTTTATCTTCCTTGGAGAAATGTCTAATTCAAGTCCTTTGCCCACTTTTAAACCAGGTTCTGTGTCTTTTTACTGTTGAATTCTAAGAGTTCCTCACACGATCTGGATGTAAGTCCCCCACTGGAAAGACGAGCTGTAACTATCTTCTCTCCTTGTGTAGGTTGATCCTTCGCTGGCATGATGTCATTGTCTGAAGCACAGAAGTTTAAATTCTGATGAAGTCCCATCTGCCTACTCTTCCCTTTTGCTACTCGTGCTTCTGGCGTCACAGAAAAGAAACCACTGTCTAATCCAAGTTCATGGAGGTCAGTACTGTTTCCATGTAAGGATTTAAGGTATACCCTGACACACTTTGGTCTATAGTCTATTTTGAGTTGATCTTTGTAGACAGTGTGAGGAAGGGGTCCAACTTCATTCTTTCACAAACAGACACCCAGCTATCCCAGCATCATCTGTGGAAAGCATTATTCTTTCCCCTCTGAATTGTCAAGGCATCCTTATTGAAAATGAACTAACTAAACATGTAATGATTGGTATTCTATACTCTCATTTCTATTTTCTCTGCAAAAAACACAGTTATGATTTTGACAGGGATTGCACCGAATGTGCCTATCAACTTGAGGAGAACTGCCACCATCACAGCATGAAGTCTTCCAATCCATGACCATGAAATGTCTTTCCATTTAAGTCTTTTATCAATGTTTTGTAGTTTGCAGTAGACAATTCTTTTTTTTAATAGTCATTATACTTTGTGATGGTATTGTACATGGAATGGTCCCTCTCTCTTTTTTAAGTAAGCTCTATGCCCAATGTGGGGCTTGAACTCACAACCATGAGATCAAGAGTCACATGCTCCCATGACTGAGCCAGCTAGGCCCCTCCCTTCTTCCCTCCCTTTTCAGAGTCTAGCTGACACACAATGCTACCTTAGTTCCTTAGTCTCAGATGTACAACACAGTGACTCAACATCTCTATAACCTATGTCATGCTCCCTACAAGGGTAGCTGCCATTTGTCACCATACAATGCTATTCTAATACCACTGACTATATTCCCTATACTGTACTTTTCATCCCCATGACTTTTTCATTCCATAACTGGAAACCTGTACCTCCCACTCCCCTTCACCTGCTCTCCCCATCCCTGCATCCTGGAATCATCTTGTTTTCCGATCATTTAGTGTGAGTATACATAATTATACAATTCCTTTTTGTATATTGATCTTATGTCTTGTATCCCTGCTGAGCTTGTTTATGAACTCTAACAGAGGACTCCTTATATATATGATCACATATATGTGAGTTCATGTCATCTATGAAGAGAGAACACTAATTCTTCCTTTCTAGTCTAATCCTTTCTAATAATGCCTTTTATTTCATTTTCTTGCCTAACTGCCCTGGTTGGTTAGAACCTCCAATAAAATGCTGAATAGAAATGGTGAGAGAGGATAAACCATAGTCAAAATCACTTATTGTGATCCAAGTACCCTCCCTATAAAAACATGGGAAACCATTTAAAATATAAGCTTACCCAGATTAAAAAACAAACAAAAACAACAGGGCATCCCATGTTGGGTATAACCATTACTTAAAAACACCAACCAAGAAACAATGAAAATTCCCATTTGTAAATTACTGCCACCACTAGCCCAACATACCTTGGAAGTTGTGCTTTAACTTGTTTCTGACATAGATTGTGGTATCTCTCCACTTTTAGAAATCCCTGATTCAACATTCTCTGGCAGACCAAGTCCATTCTTTTACAAACCTTTGGGCAGCAAGAGGAGAAAGAATTTTAACATGTAAATTCAAGTAAGTAACAATTAACTTAAGACTCCTGTTGGCTGAAAGTTCCCTGTGCCAGTTTGCTGTCTGAATCTCTCAAACAGTACATATGATATATAGATGGTACAAAGATTAAGAGGTGAACCTCTCGTACTTTATAACTCTTGCAACATTACTTTAAGAAATTAATACTACGTGTAGGCAAGGAATACTTTACCTTTATGTTAGGTATTTGTTCAATGTTCTGAATTTATCCCCATTATCATGGTCAGAAAATGTATCCTGAAGATCAGTAAAACAACAAATTCAAAAGGTTTTTAATGGGTTGAAAAAAGAAAATTCTCTTTTATTTTTTTTCATGATTTTTTTAAATTTTTATTTATTTATGATAGTCACATAGAATGAGAGAGAGAGGGGCAGAGACACAGGCAGAGGGAGAAGCAGGCTCCATGCACCAGGAGTCCAACGTGGGATTCGATCCCGGGTCGCCAGGATCGCGCCCTGGGCCAAAGGCAGGCGCCAAACCACTGCGCCACCCAGGGATCCCGAAAATTCTCTTTTAGCTCAAAAGTATATTCAACCTTTCCAAGTTTATAGGATCTATATAATAAGAATTCTTATTCTACTAGTCAGGGTTAAGTAGATAGTTATACTATATTCTCTCATATCCTACATAATATAAAATCTTTTAACATATGGAGCAGAATCTCGACTATTTTGAATCTTTAAGGAATACTGTTTTTTTTTTTATACAGTAAAAGCCCAGGATTGTAAGTCAGAACACCTGATTGTGAGCCTAACTTTTACACATTCTTGAGCAAGTCAGCTACCATTGGAAAGCCCGAGTCAGCCTTCTATATTACCGTAACTAAGGGCTATCATTAGGGTTAAGAGCAACAAGACATGCTAAAGTCACTTTGGATAAACTCTAAAGTACTCTCTAAAAATTGTTAAGTAAATTGTTTAACTTAGTACTCATTTGAAAATTTTGCTCCACTGGTGCTGTATTTCTGAGACACCCCAGTATCTTTGTTATCTTAATGAAACCCAGTGCACAAAATCTGTTTGTTTTCTGATGACTGAGAATTTTGCAGTGACTCAGAGTCATCAACTTGAATGTTAGTTTTCACTGTATAGGTGTGGATGTTGAAAGTGCAAGACACTGAGATAAATCTAGATCAAGGCCAAGGCGATTAGATGGGGGTTGTCATATGCTTCTATCTCTCACAGCACCCAAGCACAAATGCTTGACAAATACTTGTTGAAACTGAAATGCTGATGAAACTCTTGATATGTTTGCTTTCTCCTGAGAATACACAGATAAAAATTCTGGGAAACAGGACTGAAGCTAATGAAGGCTATAGTACTCTAATATTAAACATTATGTACTTCCTAAATCATAGCATGCCAAAGAAATGGCATTAAGGAAAACACTTCTTTTCCATTTGGAAATAAAAATATAGCGAACTTTTAGTAATGAAACTAAGAGTAATTCCTAATAACTGATATTTTAGAATAAAGTGGGATCTATTTCTAACTAAACCAGCTGTTAACATATAGTCAATGTCTATTAAAAAATTACAATAATAAGACCAATACATATTAACATAAACTTTAAACTTTATGTTTTTTAGAAAGCTCTACACCCATTGTGGGGCTTGAACCCACAACCTCAAGATCAAAAGTCATATACTCCTTCACCTGAGCCAGCCAGGTGCCCCAACATAAATAAAGGAAAAAACAAAAACAAAAAACTCTTCTAAAACAAAATAGTGAGTTACATTTTTGGAAATCTCTTTGATATGTAGTCTTATAAAACAGAAATGAATCGTCCTATCTGCTTCTGCATTCAATCTACTGAAGTATTACCTTAGAAAGTTCTAAGAAACAATACACAAGCACGCATTTCATGAGTTATTGGTATGCTGACATCATCACATGTCACAGAGCTCCTGGAAAGCTCCATTGTCCACTTGTGAAAGGTGGAAATAATAACTTAGAACTACAATGAAAATACTTCCACGTTTATTATGTTATTGGGGGAAGGAGGAGGTATGTCTACATGTGTGATGAGAGGGAATACAGTAGATTAAATTCTCCTCTTTCACAGAAGAAAGTCAACAGTTATCAAAATAGCATCAGCCCAAAGACCTGAAAGTGGCACCTCTGGGGAATAAAAATTGAGGGCTTTAGAAATAATTTTGTTGTTGCCAAATCTGTTTCACATGAAGCACCTTTTAACACAATCTGGTAGGAAACACTTCTTGTCTTTGTGAGCTATGCAACCTCTTTGGTAATTTCTGAGATGAAATAAGAGAAATAATTTTTTAGCAGCAAATTTATAGAGAAAAAAATTAAGGTCAGATATTATTGCAATACTTTCCAAGTTATTCCCTATATTATTTCATTTTTATACTAGCATTTTGCTGCACCAAAACTACTAAGTGCTGGGATGTATTCTGATAATCTAGAAACTCACCTAGTGTCTAAGTACTGAGCAGTATGAGTACTGGCTGGGTGATGAGAATGTGAATACATAATCACATAAGGTCAGCCAAGGAAGCCTTCACATGATACAAGATTTGAATTACCTTCGCAAAGAAGAAAGGACTGCTAAGTTAGAGCTGTGACCCATGCAAAGGCACCGAATCTGGAGTGAATAAATCACTGGCAAGCAAACTACTACTCAGGATAGATCAGGTGTGCAGGCAAAGCTGAGAATAAAATCTCCCATATTTTGAGCAGGGAAATCAGATGGTAACTTAAAGATCACCCATTTTTGGAAAGATCTCGTATGGGGACAGCTGGTCATTTTCTGTAAACAACTATAAAATTAGGACTAAATATGTGGTTCCAGAAATTTCACACCAGGATAGCCGAAATCAATGGAGATGAACCCCCAAATGAACAAGCATAACGTAAGAAAATAAGGGCCTATATAGAGTCTCAACTGACATTATTGTTAAAAGCTGGTAAAAAGAGAAAATGGGAAGTCACAAATGAAAATGGCACCACAAAAGCTGAAGTCAGAAATATTTGTAGCATTAATCAATATTATTGTAAGAAAAGAGCAGCATATAATTTGGTGTTCTTTCTTTCCTGGATGTTCAATAGCACTGATAGACCAATAGCACAAAAACAAAGATACAATAGATCATGTATCTTTGTTTAGAATCCAGAAAGCAGTAAAGTGACCCCTGGAAAACAGAAGCAATTGACCCCTGAACAATACAAATTTGATCTGCAGCGTCCACTTAAAACATGGATTTTTTTGGATAAATATACAGTCCAGTTCTGTAAACATATGTTCTTTTTCTTATGATTTTTTCTCCAGCTTCCTTTATGAATATAGCATATAAATACATAGAACACACAAAATATGTTCATCAGTTATTTATGTCAATAGTAGGCTGTTGGTAGTTTTGGGGGAGTTACATGTTCTGTGTGGATTTTCAAATGCATAGGGGTCGGCATTCCTAATCCCTGCATTGTTCAAAGGTCAACTGTACACTAATTTTCCCTACATTAAACAGTCTAATGTTGGCTGCTGATGATGTACACTAACTTGCAATGCAAAATTATCTCATTTAAAATGTAGCTTTATATCTATGGGTATTTTAAGAATTTCCCAAGGCTGACAGGAAGAAATTTTATTTCCCTAGTTATTAAAAATACAACAAAAATCCTAGCAATTTGGTCGTTTACCCAAGGCAATAAAATAAAATTCTGGAGTTTAGCACACAAAGATGATGACTATGTCAAAAACTATCACTGTATTCAGAGATCAGCAAAAACAGACACATCAATCTAACAGGGAGCTCATAGAATACACACCAGTGTCCAGTGGAAAGTTTAGTCTGGGTTCCTCTGGCACTGCTGTTCTAGTTGGAAGAGATGTAGTTTTTCGTTGTTAAATACTTGGAAGATTTAAAATGTCACCGTTTACCCTTTTTCTTTTTTTTAAATTTGAGTGTCTGTTCTTTTTTTTTAAGATTTTATTTATTTATTCATGAGAGACAGAGAGAGAGAGAGAGAGAGAGAGAGAGAGAGAGAGAGAGAGAGAGAGAGGCAGAGACACAAGGCAGAGGGAGAAGCAGGCTCCATTCAGGGAGCCCGACATGGGACTTGATCCCAGGTCTCCAGGATCATGCCCTGGGCTGAAGGCAGCGCTAAACTGCTGAGCCACCCGGGCTGCTCATGTTTACTCTTTTCCATCACTTTCTAACGTAAGTAGTAATGAAAATTTTTCTTCATTTTGTTTAGGAATCTTTTTTGATTTTTGTGCCATTATAGTCCTTAACAGTGCAAGACACACTTGCCACAAATTTGTGAAACCTGTACTTCTCTTGTTAAACCTAATCTTGGTATCAAATCTGTTGATTCTAAAATGCGTATTTTTTCGTATTTTAACATCTGACATCAGAATGGTCTTATAATTGGCAGCATTTCTTTTTCAGATAGCTTAGATGCTGTGAAACATAAAAGGGTGGACTTCTTTGATTTTGTTTAAGATACTGTAGAGACTTTAAGATGTTACCAAATTCAATAAAAGCTTTTCTGGGGGAAAAAAGGCACTGCTAAAATACTATACATACAAGTTGATCAAGATGCATTCTGATTTCAAAAATGTTAAAACTTGAAACTGTATCTTAGAGTCAAGGAAATACTGTAATGGAACCAAATTTTTCATGTATTTATTTAGTGCTCTACATTTCTCCAATGAATTAAATACTTGATGTTTTTCTCCAGTTAATCCAGAAGCTATTATCAAAGACTAGGCTGCTTATCAATAACCTTCAAACTGGAAGGAACTTAAGACAACAGAACCTTGTCTTCCTTTGTCAATCAAATTATTCAGTGGCCAAAGTTAAATTAAGAAATTAGGCTTTTAATTAGTATCTTTTTAAATTTTGTTATCTGCAGCTCTATAGACCGAAATAATTAATCCTAACTATTCTCAACTGATTACAGTCTAACACTGCT